CTCTATAAATATAATATTGACGTACAGTACAGTACAGACTGGTGGCTGATCCACATGATTTTCCTCATCAGGAATAAAAACAACTGTCACATGTCTGAACGTCTGGAAACATCGCATCATAGTGTACATCGCCACCGCGCAGTGGTGAAGTGGGATCACATGATGTCAGTCATCCTTGACTGACATCATGGCAGCAGATGATTCATTGTTTACTGTTAAGTCACAGATAAGTCCATGTTTTTTCTAGAAATAGAGACATTGAGATTCCACCGTTAATACTTTCACACAGGGGTCCCCAACCCCTGGTCTGGGGACTGGTGCCAGTCCATAGGTAATTTGGTACTGGTCCACAGTGGGACACAGTGAAAATTCATTCAAAAGAATCCAGTCATATCCCTTTACTTTCATTAACAGATAATCTGACAACGTTTCTCTGATACTAAGAGAATAAAGTCTAAAAGATGTTTTATTTTGAAAATGTAATGATCCTTCGATGGCGCAGTATTACCAGTCCACAGTAACGGCTGATACCGGTCAACCGGTCCTTGGTACAAAAAAAGGTTAAGGGCCACTGCTTTAACACTCTGGAAGTTTTCATTTCACCAAAGCAAATGCAAAAGCAAACCTCAAGTTTAAAATACCATCTCAGCAGACAATTATTTTTATAACTATAAATGTTGATTTATCATGATTAAAATACCAAAATGAATCCACAGCTACACTGTGATTAATCATCCATAAAACAAAAGATCCTGCAGCTACTTCTCATCTACTGCCAAAACAGTATCTTGTACAAAGTAATACCCGAGAGTCTGATTCCATGAGAGTTTAGTTAACAGAAAAATAAATCAAGAAAAAACAGGAGCGAGTTGAAATCCCACAGCAGCTCTGCTCTACAGTAACCTCCCACTACAGAGATGATAATAACTCCTTTAATAAAACACCATTACACTACAGACAACATTAGCTCGTTAGCTAGGAGCTAACAGGCAATAAACTCACTGCATGTGCTGTTGTCTCTTCTCACTGCCGCTCTGGGCTGAAATCCCACCTGTGGGCTGGAGGGTCTTCTTTTGGGAGACAGAGAACAGACTCATGTCGGCAGCTCTGTTCCTCTGTCACAACCATCACTAACAGAACTTTTCTCTCTCCGTCTCTCCCTTCCTCTATTTCCTCTGACGGAGCAGCTTCGTAGAGGGGGTCACTCGTCTCCTTGGACCATTTCCTGTCATCCACCCATCCACTGGGAGCGCACTTGACCCTGTGACGTCACACCACTGCTCAGTTCTTCTCTTCAAACCCTCCACTCCACTCGCTGTAATGTGAACCGACCCATTTCCTGGGCAGTCCACTGGGTTAAAGGTTCAGTTCTGCACATATCAGATCGACCTGCTCTTTGTCTTTATTAAAACTTCATCTTCCTCTTTAGTAATCTGATTCAGCAGGCTCTACATGTGAATCCAGGCAACAGGAAACTCGATCGGAGACTGAGGTGAAACATCAGATTATCTGTAGTCGGACAGAACCTCACCCACATGAACCTACGACTATAACGTTCACTGGAAGTTCTCAAACATTCCTCCATCATTTCCAGGGTCACAGTAGAAGCTGGGGTCACACCACCACTTTACCACTCCATCACAGGGCCATAAGTACAGACAAACAACCAGTTAGTCCAGACATGGGCAAATTAAGGCAGAAAAAAGTCAACAGTCAACAGTGACTGTTTCAAGTTTAAATAAAAGTGTGTGTAAATTAACCTGTGGCTAGAATGTTTCAAAAATGTTCTATTTTTATTCAAACTGATGTTCAACACCAGACAATGAAAATCCAAACCCCTCTGTGTGCTCTGGCACCCACCAGTGGAGACCCAACCCACACTTTTATGATTTTATTGACACTATGATAAAGCCACCATTAAGACATAGTTCGACTTTTGTCCAGAAAGTCCACGACCACAGCAGGGTTTGACACATGTCTGCGATTCAACTGATATTTTCAACCCATGTCTGCGATTCAACTGATATTTTCAATCTGAGCTAAGCAAACACTGGACCCAGTGGGACCTGGTTCTTCTTCTGCCTCCTCTGTTCTCTGCAGGTTCTGTTACCAGGTAAAATTCTTCAGCAGCCCAAAACAGCTGAGTCACTGCAGCCCTCTGTGCTGAGTCAGAAAAAAAGCTTTACTGCAGAAGAGAGCTGGAAGACAATCTGGTGCAGAATATATTTCTTTGATAAATGATCGTCTGCCTTACAGCCAGAAGGTCAGTGATTCGAGTCCAAGCTGACAAACAGTCTCTAATGTCTCCTAAAGATAATATGTTACCGAGAGACACTTTGTTGACAGGAATATGATTGTGAACAAAGTTACGTTCTTTGCATCGTTCTACTTTGACAACACCGTCTCTACACACAGTTGCATTGATATCAAAGTGCTTACATCACCAAAGACTTATAAATGCTTTGGAACGGCTGCTGAGACAGCGGTTGTCAAGCAGATGTGAGTTTTATTGACAATACTGCACCGTGCTGCAGAGAGACTGCAGCATGAAATTGGTTTTCAGAGCTGGAGTAAAATCCAGTCAGAGTAGAGAAAATGATGAGCAGCACTGGGATTTGGACTGGAACTGGTTGGGTTTTTAAGGTCACTGAACTATATGGTAATTGATACTGAAGAATAAAAAAAGGTTCATTGACTAAAAATAAATAAATACCGCACAGAAAGTAAACCACTATGTCCAAAATTCAAAGCTCACACAGCTACGTGACCAACTATATCCAAAATTCAAAGCTCACACAGCTACGACAAAACAGTCAAGACTTAAATGGAAAAGATTTTTTTATAAATACTTCATAACTAGGTTAGACAAGAAATGGAAAAGTATTTTTTATAAATACTTCATAACTAGGTTTAGGCAGTGGTTCCCAAACTACGGTGCCCAAGCCAACACGCCGCTCCCCATCAACACATTTACTATTACTATTACTTCAAATCACCAAGTATTATTATTAAATTATTTTTAAAAAGTCTCATTAAACAAAACACAGGAAACGACAAATTTAAATACAGGAAATAAATCAGTCACATTTCTATTGATTTTTAACTGATTCATGATCAGTTACATCCCCAGAACACTCATTTTGGAAAATTTAACAGTTGGTGTGGCTGTGATAAACTCCTTATTAAACAACAAATTTATACTACAATACTAGAATGTTTTCAAAACACCGATGTATGTGACACAGTGTGATGGACAATCCAGAAGGAGCATTTTTTTTTACTGGGCTGAATTACTGAGCAAGTTTCCGATTGTTGTGATGGTAATACCGCTGCAAAAACCAAACTTACAACTGCATTACAAACATCGATACGTTTTAAGAACGACCGAGGAGTAACTGAGGAAGTTTAATGACAGAGTGGTTCGGCAGATCAATAGGAATCACAATGGTTTCTCATAGTACTGAGTGAATGTTCTGAGGACAACAGCTCTGGGACCGACCAGAGTCCATTTTCCCATGAAACCTGCAGTTCACTGATCTGAAGCTATTTTCAGCAGAGCGGCACCACAGGGAACGACTGCAGTATTTTAACAAGAGCAGTTGGACAGGGAAACAGCAACAAACTGTGTCCAATTATAGACATATGGAGTTTGATGAAGACTATGATTTGATGCATTTACTGATACAGTATTTTAATAGCACTCTTTTTCTTTTCACTTCTTAGGCTCAGCAGAAAATTCTGATGGAAGTCTTAACTTGCACTTTATTTTCTTCTTTTTCGAAGCGATCAATAGACATTAGCTGCATCGCAAACATCAGTGAACCTGTTTGTTTGTGAGTGTATCGATCTGTGTCTAAGTGACACCAAAACTTCAGTGCTGGGTTTCAAAGCTACACTGTCCAAGTCAGAGAGATGTAGCTATGAACGCTGGATGACATTTAGCTGCTGTTGACAGTGTGTGTGTGTTTTGTACAACACTAAATGTGTCTAAAATGTTATAACAACACAGAGATCCAAGATGGCACAGAGAAGCCTGGTGTGAATTTCATTCATCCATTCATTATTCATTCATCTTCTATCTCCTAATCATTTTCAGGGTCTTGGGAGAGCTGGAGCAAATCCCAGCAGCCAACAGGTGAGGGCGGGGCTACACTGTGGACAGGTCACGTCCTTCACATGGACACATAGAAACAATAACCATTCAAAACAAACTTAAAAGGTTCTGAAATGTTTGTTATTCCGAATAATTTCCTGCAAGTTTCTACATGTGAATCTCAATGATCAGTTTAGCTGCTGAGATCGAAGTTTCAAATTTCAATATAATGTTTTAAGGCAGGACTAACAACTAATATCATCAAGCAATACCTGAACTCACAATTCAATTATTATTATTATTGTTGTTCAATCAGTGCTGTCAAAAGTACTCTATAATGTTTACTGCACTCATGATAATTGTGCTCGCACTGCTTAAATTTTCAGTAGACCGCATCAGCGCTGCTATTGAACAACTGTTCATTTGGAGCCACGATGTGAAACACAAACCAAAGTATTCTTCTCTACAAACAAAGCCTGAGTAAAGTAAAACCAAACACAGGAGCCGCGGTGGAAAAGTTAATCACTGAGGAAGTTCAGCTCTGAAAAGAGAAGCTCGGTGTATGAGCAGCAGCTTCACCAAAGTAAATAAAGTTTGTTTTTATAATAGTCCAGCACAGAGCAGCCAATAAGCTTCCACCTGGGAAAAATACAACTTTGAAATAAAAATAAAAATGCACCGTTTTAAAGCCACAACCAAAAATGGATGAGAGCTGCAGCTATCAATTAGTTTTGTTATTAATTAATCTATCAAACATTTTTGCAATAGACTAACCTGTCATCATCATAGATGTACATGTTGAACATGTTGTTTCACCATTATTCAATTAAATAAATACAAACAATACAGTAATGTCGCAATTTTTTAAAGGCATTAAAACTCTTCTGTCTGTGTGTTCACTTGGTACCTGAAGCAGACCGTGTGCCAGTCCGAGTTGAGCGCTTGGAGATACTGCTCATCATAGATCCTCTGTTTGCATCCCGCACACACCGGCAAACTTCCTCCAGCTGCAACAACAACAACAACAACAACAATCATCTATACGTGCTGTATTTATACAGGGAACCATGTCATTGGTCTTCACTGTTAGCATGAATCAATTCACCCTCCTGTTATGGTCCAACACTGTTTACTGATGTGTGTGTGTGACTATTGTCTCGGTCACACACTGAAAAATATCTCAGACACTGATGGAAGGGCAAACAAACACACCTCCAGGTACGAGCTGTGCAGGAGCCACGCCCCTCATTTGTCCATGTGAGTTCCAGGAGCTCGTCCTTCACATTAGACAAACTCACTGTAATGTACCGTGAGTCATCACCCATCACACTGGATCTATTGTTGAGATCAGTGAGCTGCATTCTGACTGCATCAGCTAACATTCGTCTGAAGAGTCGATGGTCACAATGAACAACATCAGAACGTCTCGGTTAGAAAAATGTAAACAACAACCAACAGATTCAGAGGAAATGGAGCCATGGTCAAACAGGAGCTCCACCAAGTTGTGACGTTCATGTTGCTTGCGGCTGTTGGTCATTTGAGTTTCAGCTAACTACAGTGTACTGTATATAACCATGCACTGTAGGAATTTAAATGAAAAGCAAATATTTAATGGTCAACAGTAATGTAAAGTTAGGAAGGGTGAGAAGAAGAAAAAAGGTTGGTTTTTACACCATGCAGTTTTATATGTAGGATCCATGACTGTGGTTGTATCAATAACTCAATGGTTTTTTTCCCAAGGTTTTTTCATGAAATTAAACTTCAGACTGTTTTGTTTTGATTTCTTTGGAAATTGATGATAGTCCACAAAATATACTGAACTGTGGACAAGAAAGACATTTTAGATTTAGAAAACATCCGTCAATACTCGTCACAATTTCCTGCAATCTATGGCCTGGTCAACAATTAAAGAATAAACACCCATATTTAACTTAACATGTGTTTCTTCAGTGTGAAAAACTTTAAATTTCTCTCATAAACTTGAGCAAATGTTTAACCAAACTCTACATTTTAATGTTTAACAACCTGTTAATCAACTCAGTGTGTGGTTAAAGAGCCAGGAGGAGAGGAGAGGGGAGGGCCCAAAAACACAGGCTGGAGAGAGGAAAACATGGCTCCTTCTTTTGCAGCAGCAGCAGAGTGTGGAGCTCCTCAGGTCCAGATCTCTGCTGCACCTCATGCGTGTCACTCAACTGAGGAGAAGAGCAGTGCAGATGGACTTAGTTGACTTCACACTGTGCAGCATCCCTGTGTGTTTGGAGCAGCACGGATCTCTCTGCACCTGCCTCCTCCTGCCTCAGCTCGGGTGCAGCAGCCCTTAACCAATTCGAACCGAACCGAACCGAACCAAATCAAATCAAACCAAACCAGCAGCGACTCACCTTCCTCCTCTCCCATTTGTTCGTCCTTCCACGTGCAGCAGAGCAGCATCAACCTCATCCACTCTCCGGCAGAGAGTCAGTGTCCTGTGCTCGACAGATGCCCGGGGTCCGACCACCACCACAGCAGCAGCAGCCCGCTGCTCTTGTCTTGTGTCGCTGTGCTTCAGCTTCTCCCTGCGGCGGCAGCGGAGCGTCTCTTCGTGCGGCTCTTCATTCAAGACAGAGACCGACCAATGGAGCTGCTGGTTGGCTCAGAAAGAAGGAGAGGCGACCAACCAGCGACGCCGCCTGGATGACGGATGCGTTTGTTTAGAAGAGGAGAGGTGGAGGAGTTAGTGCGGGTCAGTGAACTTCCAAGTGGGGCCACGGTGACTTACTGTGGCCCTTGAAGCAGTGACTTGTGGTCCAAATCCATCTAATCTATGATAATGTATTATTGATGGCATTCTCATAAGTGAATGTTAATTTCTGTCTATGGCCTGCAGGGGGCATCTAGATTTTTTCTCTCTTTGTGAGAGGATACTATGACTGAAATTATTTTGTTAAAAAATTTTACCCATCAACTCCATCTCCACCTAATTAGATCAGGTTTGTAAGGGAAGCCAGAGTCGTTTCTAAACAAAGTTAAATGGATTGAAATACATTTACTCTGACGATTTTTATGTTTTAGTTTTGTCCTACTATACCACTGCAAAGCTTTTTTTTTTTTTTGCAGTTTAACATTTTTAGCCTTAAGCTTCTTCTTGTGGAACAACAATGTAAGCTACTTTTTCAGGATGTGGATCGTTGGTCCGTGGTTCTCCCAGGAGATCCCCTGGAGAACAGCAGCATGACTTCATTGTTTCCATCTGGGAAAACACGAGCAGTTTTATCGTCCTCTTCCTGAGGCACTGACAAAAATGTCTGTATGTTATGGTAAAAAAACAACTGATATTAGTTTGTCCAGTGGGAAAGAGGAAAGTTTGCCAGAGCGGAGATTTGCGACAGATCCCAGGTCAGCAGGAGCAGAGGCCAGGGTATTCTCCAGGATACTACTGGCTAACAGTGAACTGAACCACCGTCCTGGTCCAGAGCAGGTGGTTTAGATCAAGTCTCAGGTCAAGCTGCTGCTCGGTTTGAAAAAAAAAAAAAAATCAACCCACAAGAGGACATGGAATCTTTAAAGACATTTTATTTTGTTACTTACTGAAGCAAATAAAATGCTGGGATGTCCAGGAACAAGTCACACACGTCATGGAAATATAAAAAGTGCAAAACCAGACTGTTCCTCCTTATAAAAAAAAAAAAAAAAAAAAAAACAGCTTTAAATTAAGATGAAGAATGGTCTGACCCAGCGAGGCTCAAAGACAGTTCTTACACAGCACCGAGTGAAGGAACTGAAGCTGGCTAACGTCACAATTAGTACAAAATACAGTACACAATTACAGAGAGTCAACAGCGCTCATGAACCTTTGGTCAGTGAAGCCTTTTCTTTTTTAAAAGCAGCTCAAGTAAATGGAGAACAGTGGGAGTGTATGAAGCACATGGACACGTCGTCGTCGTCATCCTCCCACTGTCTTTATCATAATTCAGTTCATAACAGTAAATATAGGCAAAAGCAAATGATTGTTCTTGTTTTACATTTCCAATCCCTCCTGACAATAAGCTATGCGTCAAACTGTGGTGCAAAAAAAAAAAAATCTGGAATAATTATAATAATGACAAATTACGCAAAAAAAGAAGTAAATAAGTGCTGCAGTTGGACTAAACACTGGAAGCAGTGAAGGACAGGGACACATTCACACGTCCACACACACACACACACACAAGCCTAGACAGGTGTCTGATTGATATTCTGTTCTCTTTAAAACTGTCTTCACCACGATGAAGACGGAAAGCTGCGAAACATAAAATGCATAAACAGGAAATTCAGCGAAGTTACTGAGAGCAGATGGATTGGCAGGAGTCCCATCTTCCTGCTGCTCGTTGCCCAGCAGACCTAAAAATATCAGCAGAGGACAGAGAGGCAAGAAAAGATGCTGAGTTCAAACAAATCTTCTCAGAATCTCGACCATCTCAGCCTCTGTGATATGTCAGGAGAGGAGGCTCTGCACGGCAGGAGGAAACGGCGCCTCTCCACACCGGTGACAGATCGACTCGCGCCAAGATTAAAGTGAAGGTACGCGTAGGTCACATTGGCCTGCCATAACTCAGACTCAGTCTTCTGCACAACAGTCCAAACCATATGGCAAAAAAACACACACTCACACAGACGCTTCACCCACACGCAGCGACACACTCCAGAGAGGGTGTTAAAGCTGAATAACTTGACCTCAATAATGATTAAAAAGAACTTTCAATAACATGGGTCACATCAGAATGTGTACAAAACTCCTGGTCGGTGGGTTTGTATAAAACGGGTGGTTAACTCTGGTAAAAAAAAAAAACATCTTTACAAAATGTCTAACTGGGCTTTGTTTTGCATATAAAATGTACATTCTTAATCATGCAGTAGCACCATAGTTCCTTGAGGTCACACTGGATCTCAAGAGATCCTCTACTTCCTCCGCCCGCAGTATTTTCCCTGGCATCCTGCAACTCCACCTGCAACAAACACAGTATCAGAACGACACTAGTCCTGCATCACCACAATACTTTGTTGAATACTTGTGGTTCAAAGTATTTGTCCTTCACCTCTGTAGATGCCTCCCACACCTCCTGCTCCTCCTCCTCCCCCTGCACCACCAAGAAACCCTTGGAGCGCTCCATATTTGGCTGCTTTGGCTGTAAAAGAAAAAAAAAGACATGAAGTGATTCATCAGTTATACATAAGCACATCATCTGGATTGGCAGCTGCACAGCTCTACTCTGCCATGTGGTGGTTATGGTTCTGTTTCTGTTTCTTTTTACTGAAGAGTCATCAGTTACTGAGGTGAGTCAGAGCTGAGAAGCTTCAGCCACAGTATCAGTCTCTCCAACACCGACCACTTTTCCTCCCACTAAATCCCACCGGCAGTAATCTCAGATGTTCGGCAAAATAACACAGATTATGACGCATTCAGTTCAGGGATCATACTCCACCATCTGCACCAACATCACACGCAACGACCTCTGAGCCTAACCCATCCTGGTTTAATCCTGATCACTGTAGACATGTGTATCAAGAGTGACTGCTCTGAGATAGCAAATGTAATCTGTGCACCATCCTGGTCCTCGTGCCATAGTTTTGTCAATATTTCTGGCATCCACTACTTAAAATATTTGACTTCAAATTTGCTGCTCTATATGTTATATTATATATTATATGTTATATTTAAATTTATTTTGGTGTGTTTTTATTAAAATAGTTACTATTCTTTATACTTATTATCAACTTCTTGCTTTCTTTAGACATTCTTGCAGAAAAAGCTGTGGGAGAAACCATTTTCTCTTGTGGGGATCAATAAAGTATTTCCTATCCTGACTCTGATTCTACTAATGATTGTACAAATGTGATCAACCATATGACTATTATTTTCAGAATCAGCTGTTTACACAGATCGACTGACGGTGTTTTTTATTCACTATAATTATTGTTATTATTAATTTGTTTTAGTTTTGACATCACAACATTGACTTGGTGTCTAATTTGGGGAGTGAGTGTAGAATTTGACAGTATTTAACCAGTGCTAACAGTTAGCATTAGTAAATGGTTAGCTTGTTTTATGTTTAAACACTGCAGGGATTGTGATCTTCTGCAGCAGTGAGTAAAGAAACAAACAACAGAATGAATATTTGAACGACTGGGTGTGAACTCAGCTCCATCTGTTTCTGCTGCATCTCATAAATGAGTCAAACCGCGTGGTTTTCTGTCAAATACCTTGTTGTGGAGTCAGTGGAGCAGGTACATATCCACCTGGAAACATGGAGACCAGTGAGACATGAGTTAGTGGCAAAAGACTGAAGTAAAAACTGTCCTGGGTTTGGATCAACAGGACAGAACTGTTGACCAGACCCCAACTATTTTGGAGGATTTTGGGTTAAAAATAAAAAGTTTGTTGGAGTCTTAGAAAATTTGAGATTTCATCAACATATTAATGTGAATATAGAGTATACAGTGTATTAGTAATTATTAATTAATGTCACAAAATAAGGACTGTTCAAATTGAACCCAAGACAAATGTTAATGTTTTTATTATTATTGATTCTATTCTTTTAAACTCTACAACTACAGTCCACATTGTGCAAGTGCAGCAGTCAGGTGGGGTTTAGGTGAGGGTCCAGCATACCTTGGTAGTACTGCTGAGGGAAACCTACTCCGTAACCAGGGACTACAGGAAGCACACCTAGGAACACAGTAACAGGACATAATGAATGGAAAATACATTCATAATCAGAACTTTACACATGATACAACAGGATTTCATATATAAGTACCTGGCTGATATCCTCCACCAACACCACCCAGATTACCGTAGCCTGTTTAGAGAGAGAGAAGCCAATCAGATGACTAATAACAACTTCCTCAGCCTGTTGTTGTGTTATTTCTTCATTCGACCATTTATCTTCCAAACTCAGTTGGAGCCAGGGTTCCATCATCTAAACTTCCTGAGACGTAGTTCTGCCGTTGGAGGGCAGGACTCTCCAGAGGTTTGTCTTATCTCCACACAGACACTTTGATGTTGGTACACAGTACTGTAATACTACTAACAATAACTACAGTCCCCTGGGACGTGGTGTAGGCTCATTATAAAATTATACTGGACATGTGATTCTGCAGGAGTTACTGTGGAAATGGTCTGGGACGTCTTTAGGAATTCATAATCACCATGGGGTTTTTCCACCAACTAAGCCGGTGTTAAAGATTTGGTTGAGAGATATGAAACATGAACTAATGTTTCTCTTCGTGATTTTTGTCACTTTACAAAGCATTAAACACACAATTCTGTTGATATTGTCTTGGTCATAGCCCTGTCCAGATTTATCTTCTTATATTGATTATTTCTGTGCACATCTAAGTATTAGCCATTAATTAAATTCAAGGAACTGTCCAGGATGTATCTCTGCCCTCGAATGATGACACCTGGGATTTGATCCAGCGCCTCCCTCGACCTCAAAAGGATAAGGCAGTAGAAAACTGATGGTTGGATGAAGAATTAACAAGTTAAATTTACGCTGAGTGATTTAATAAAGAAATCAACTTAATCTACAGATCCATAGTAAAACCTTAGTTTCTATTTTATAACAGTACTGGTACACACACACACACACACACACACACAAATGTTCTTCTGTGCATTCCACTCATTACCTGGTTTAGGGCCTTTAGCTCCAGCACCTGCTCCTCCTCCCAGTCCAACTCCAGAAGGATACAGGTGACCTGCTACAACACACACAACACTGAGGATTTACACCAGGACATAAAAGATCATGGAACAGTAACATGTTGCTACACAGCAGTGTTAAAGTCAGTGTATGAGAACTGCTTGATGTCCTTCATCTCAGTATCTTTGACCATGTTGTACCACAGAAAATTAGTAATTGGTATATGATTAATTAAAACACAAAAGACGTTTGACATTCAGACCACACTTCAACAGTGACCTGGAGTAGAACTTGGACACCTGGTCTTCACTAAAAGTGGAAAGCACCATTGCCTTGTTTTGCTGTTGGCAAGCAAGCTGAAAAGTTAATGCAGTGTAAAACTGGTTTAAACTGGAATTCTTTCTTATCTCCTATCTGCTTATGAGACTAGTCCATCTGATGAATAAGTCATGATTTATGGTTTTGTCTGTGTTAAGTCCAGTCAGGATACTGGGGTCCAGTCACAAACATCAAATATGATCAAACAGTACGAGTGTAAACAGGTTAAAGAACAGATGGCTCAGGAGCCACAGATTGAACACCCCTATTCCTTACACACAGCTCAGACCAACAAACACAGACCTATCAGTAATTTGAGCAGTTTCCTGCTCAGGAGGTTCAGAGCACTGAGGACCATGACCAACTGCCACTGTGAGCAGGGAGCAGGGAGCAGAACCTGGAGGAAACGTTAAAGCTGCGAGTTCTCACCTATGTTATTGACACTACAGTACAGTAACCTCTGGCAATAGTAATAATGTAAAATAAGGTTATTTTAACAGTGTGTGCTGGGGTGTTTTCATCTGTTGTCATTAAAGTATATTTGTGAATTCTCACTTGGATAACCTCCTCCTGTCAGTGGGATCCCTACTCCACCCCCAACTCCACCCACAGCTGCAAAAAGAAGAAAAGAAAACATGAACTACAAATGTTCAAATGAAACAAATAAATGATTTAAAGAAATGATCACACAAAAACACACCTGGTGGTTTCAAAGGCTTTACCCCAGCCAGCGGTGCTGTTCCAGTTCCAACACCAGTACCAGTCCCAGCCCCTGCACCATATGGTACTGAAGTACAAAGAGAATAAATCTAGTACTCTAGAGCATGTGTTTGTATCAATGGTGGACAGAATACTGCATGAAGTACTTACATCCATAACCTCCACCATATGGGTATCCATTTCCAGCACCTATGGAGTAAACATATGTGTAGATTTTAGGAAGTGAAAGTGATGAAGTGATAAATGTTTAGTCTGTGATGCAGCTTCTCCTGGACTGACAGCTGGTTTTATGGATTTCACACAAGTCAGTGACCATCCAGCCTTGAATGTGTGTGAGGTTTAAAAAGTTCACAGTTGTATTCTTAAACAGGAGTTCCCATAATTGTGCAGTTTTTGTTTTTTCCCCACTAAAGAACAGATAAAACCCGGATTTACCTGGTAAATATGGTTTTGGTGGTTTACCTCCTGCATCCACACCTGAAAAGACAATCTTTTTAATCATGACGTTAACCTACTGAGGCAGATGTTGTTTTAGGTTTTGTCTCCCCCTTGTGGCCAATTAAAGCAATAAACCTCGACGTTGTAAGAAAAAACGTTTGTTTTGTGTGGTCATGATTTTGCCTTTGAGTAAATCATGACCACACACAACTTACCAGGTTGGCCTTGACCCGTTGTTCCCCCTAGAACACAGGTATTATAATCTTCATTAAATAATCTATAATACATCTTCAACACATATTCCTGTCAGTGAGTACTTGCAACTGTCCCTACAAAAACGACCCCACCGGTATATCTATGACAGGAACACACATACACTAACACAGAATTACATAACCTACCAGCAGGAGGCGCTCCAACACCTGCTCCCCCTGTAAAAAAAAAGAGTTAAAAAACGTCTAAACAATGCAATAAATAATAAATATATATACTGTATATATTTATATATATAGCAGATATATTTATTTACCGACACTGGTGCCAGCTGTAACAAAAAATAGAACAGTAATACAGACATTTATATTTAACAAATATACAGTGTTTAATATAATAAAATAATCTAGAGATATTCTTTAACAAATACTCACAGCCAGGCTGAATGATCCCACCAGACACTGTAACAGACAGATAAGAATGGAAGCAGATCAGATTCTGGGTTGTAATATTTAGTAAATTTGCTAAGAAAATAGAATTAAGTAAACGTGAACTCACCACCTGTTTGTGTGAAGGTAGAGACAGAGAGAAGAAGAAGAAGAAAACACACATTAGTCTAATTTACGAAACACACTGGCAGAACTTTGAGTCTACTTTATACCGTAGGTACTGACACCGTAAATCCTTGAGTATACATTCGTGTACTATTACAGTACCCCTCTGAAAACCTCAGCAAAACAAAGATCGAAAGTGAATGAAGATGCACCTAAAATATTGCTAGAAGAAAATGTAGGAATTGGTCGCTGACAATAAAGACATAATACAAAGTACAAAACTTCAACTTGATTGAAGTCCTATTAAAATCATACTATGACTCTAAACATTAGATGAACATTTCAGCTGTAGAACTTAACTGCCCCCGGCTTCTGAAATGCACCTCAAACAGCAACGTCTCCAGAAAAGCAGCAACATTATGATGACAGACAGAATGAGATTAAATTTTGCCCGGCAAGCTGTTAGTTCGAAGGTAAACAGTGTAGAAAAAGCTGCTTAGAGACGTGATAAGTAACATGAACGTAACCTATGACACCATATTTTTATATTGTTTTGAATTTGATGATGAAAGATTTTCTTGACTGCATGTGTCTCACTGGGTAGATATTAAAAATAGTAAAATAAAACAAAGTCTGTTATTCTCTAGAGCAGTGGTTCTCAACATTTTTGGGTCCAGGAGCCCCCTACAGGACAGAAGACCCTCAGATAACAGAAATACAGTTTAAACATTAGACTGCTAACATTTAACCAATGTAATAATGGCTGATTTAGGCTGAGCATCAGGGCAATTAACGCACATTTTCAATTGTTTCAGTCAGGTTTAGCTCTGCAAAGTCTCCTGAAGGTAACATGAGTGGACGTTTTGACCACTATTATACAGTATACAGCATAATACAGCTTAATTTTAATTGTAGTCGTGAACCATATCAGATAGTAGCCCATGGATCCCCAGGGCTCCAGGAACTTCTGGTTGAAAACTACTGCTCTAGATAACATGAATAATTGTCATCAAACCAGAACACTAAGGTACTCAAATTAAAGTACTTAAAAAGTTAAAAATATATATAAAATATATTTGGGTTGAAACATGCAGGTTAAGCCAAAAGGCTGTTTCACAAAAAAGGGCTTTTGCTGATTTTCATTTTTTTTCTGTAAAATGTATGCTTTTGTACAAAAACAATATAAACATGGTTCTTAAACACAGAAACATGAATCTCTTCTGATTTTTAAAAATGACTCCGCTAAAAGAGGTCAATGTTGTTTGTGAGGAAAATAGCACATGTTGCACAGCACTTGGAAGGACATTTTGAGAATTAAACCATGAGTGTCCTGACTGTACAATACATATTCATGGTTTCAGTGAGACACCGTGCTACAGTATACAGTAAACTTAGAGACCTAAGGATGGAGCCCTTTTAATGAGACTATTAACAGAGCTGGTGTCACTGCTCTTCTTAAGTTGACCTACTGTACCTAACTTCAGAATTCTTTACTACACCCACTTTGTGAAACAGACCTCATGCTTTATACCTTGTTACCAACAAAACGCCCAAACAAACAGAAGTAGAACTGGGTTGGAAAGTGACCAAATATTCACCTAATACTTGGACTGTACACACATGCACATATACCTCAGTTTGACGCGTGTTATTTACAGGTTTTTAAAAGTGAGCTCAGAGGTTTTCATGCAAACAGCAGGTCTTACTGGGCTGCGGGACCTCTGGGGTCTTCCCAGTTGCAGCAATAGGCGCGAGCCCTGTCGAAAAACAACATGTTCCAGTTTCATCCACTATGCTGTGAACAGCGACAGTGTGAGAGAGACCAGTGAAAGGCAGATGCTGCGAGGCGGACCATGACACTGCTACAGCTGAGGGAGCGGGGCTGTAAGCTGAAGGTGGTCAATAGCTGACGGCACTCGCAGTACAATAATGTGCCACCGTTGGCAGAAACGGCAGCACCTTCATGTACAACATGATCAATGGAACAGTGTCTGCAGAAATACATTCCAAACATCTCAACCTCTACCTGGTCGAGGAGTTCCACCCACACCTATGTCCTTGGCTGTAAAAGTAAGAGAAAGACGTCAC